GCCATCAACCACCTTCTCAAACATGAATCCAGACACTATTTCCCACTCTTTCTTCCTGGTTAGCTTACATCTCCTGGCTAAAGAAACCTTTAAAAACTTAGACACTTTTGCCATAAGAGAATATCTTCTTTGCAGACCTTAATTACTTGAGGTTATCTACCTTTATCTCTAAAAATACGTACAGCCTTTGTGTTCTAGAAAGAAGCCCACCAGCCTCTCCAGATACCACCCCTGGGTATCACAGGCTTCCAACCACAGCTTATAAATGGAGTCCCAGGGGCAGTTCATGTGCTTCAAAATCCAATGCAAATGTCACTTTGGTAATTAGATTTAACACTTTTTTAGAACTTAGTTTTATTGTTAAGAGATCTTTTTGAGCCAAATGATTCAAATCTCATAGATACTTGATTTGCTATGAAGTAAGGCCACCAATTTAGCTGTGGTCTCCTATTTTCTCCACCCCCCCAACCTATTTTATGCATTATTAATGTAGTTTGTACAGTTAATGTATATGCAACAGAAATAAATTTAGTACCATGTTAAATGTAATAGTTTTACATTGATTTGTTTAAAATTAAAAATATAGGTATAGCCATGCCACCTTGAACGTGCCCAATCCCGTCTGATCTCTGAAGCTAAGCAGGGTTGGCCTGGTTAGTACTTGGATGGGAGACCACCTAGGAGTACCAGGTGCTGTAAGGCATTAAAATTTATACATATATAGATAATTATCAAGACTATTTGCTTATCTATGCTTTTTGCTTATCTGCACTTTTGAATAAACCCAGCCAGTTGATGGAAAGTCAAAACACTCAGCTTGGTGGTAGATAAATTATTGCATAAAAGGAAATAAATTGTCTCTGAAATACCAGTCAACTAAACCCAAACCTATGATGTAATGCAAGATAGTACACTCTTCAATTCAACAAATCATTTAGACAATCACTAACAGAAGTATTCCATCAATATTTACTTTCAGTCATGAAAGCGGATATTTTCAAACTCTTTTACCCCAGAAACCGTTTGTCTACATAAAATTAGAAGTCTACATAGACCCTAAAAACAGCCTTGGATGACGTGGACATGTGGCCGGGAGCCCTGCTGACTTCAGCTTCCTCTCATCTCATAGAGTGGCATCTCCAGCTATCTTTGGGCTCCACCAAGCTCAGATTAGAAATTTCTAGGTTGCAGCATGATGGCAATAAAGTCAAGGTCATGGTTTCAGTGGCCATGGGGGCCATGACCAACCTCTCCCATTTACAAACACAAACCCCTCAGTGGTATAGAAGGGATGCAAGTTGATGCTCAGCAAAAAGAAGCTATTTTTATCGCTATTCTTAACCACCGTCCCTGCAAGTGTGTACCTATGGTACAAGTAAGAAGAGTGAGCATGCAAAACCTCTCCAGACTAGGACTGTACACTCTACCGTTGGGTCAACAGAATCATCTTTGTCCGTTAAGAACACTTCATTTTATTTAAGCAGAGATAATAAATACCCATTAATGGTGTTAATAATAGAGCTGAGACATGTGCCGTGGAGTCGGGCCAGAAGCCTTCCTAGGACTCTTCTAGGCATGAGTTTCCACATTTCTCTGATGTTGGAGCAGCAGCCCAGATGACATCCAACAAATTACTGTCTCACGGCACAGCCCCACCTCACTGTAAGCTGCTGGAAATTTTGCAGCTTCCCATAGTGAAAACTTCCTTGTGGTTCGTTATTCTTTGGGAAGATCAGACTCTGCCTTTCTTTCACCAACTTTTTCATCTTCCATCTGAGACCATATAGGTCTCAAGTTTAGATCTGGTATTTACCTCTAAATATGAAATTGTAGGCAATGACTTAGTGGCAAAATATCGCTTTGAATTATAAAATATCAATTAACTAATTAATTGAATTCATCCGGAGAAGATTTTTAAAGAAGATTTAAAAGACCTAAAGGGAAGTGGCTTCTTTATAACCCTCTCTACCGTCTTCATATCTCTGACCCCAGCACCAGCACCCTCCATTGTGAACAGGCCAGCATCAGCACCCCCCATTGTGAACAGGCAGCTTCATCTACTTCGAGAGAAAAATCAAAGCCACAGAGAGGCATTAACTCAGACTCCTGCCACCGACACTGCAAACCCACCAGAGTCTACACTCTCCTTTCCTCCTTCCCTTTCTTTTCAATGAAAAGGGACCTCTGATCCATGCCTGATCCTCTCCTCTATGCCAATGGATTCCCCTTCCCACATCCTCAGTTCTTGACTCCATCGGTTCTCTCCTCCTCCTTCTTCATGTACCCACTCTGCTGCCTTCTTCCCTGCACCATTCACCAAGTTCATGTGTTTCCTCAGTTCATGGAAAAACACCAGGTCTTGTTCTACCCTCTGCTTCACTTCATGATCAAGCTTAGCTGAGGGGTTGCATCTACCTTGACGAATTCTTGTTCCTTACTTCCCAATTGCACCATACAGAGGGTGCCCTACAAGGTCACCGACAGTTCCTCACTACTAAATACAATAGATACCTTTGACTCCTCGAAAGTATCTAAACTTTTGAAAAATTATTCCTATTAAAAAAACAACAAACAAACATCCATTCAGTCAACAAGTATTTATTGAGTTCTTACTAGTGCTGGGAACTGAGGATGTAACAGTAAACAGGTGTTGTCAATCCTGGAATTTACATTAAAGGGGGAAAGGGAGCTAAGCAATAAACAAGTGAAAAAAATGAGCAGGGTAATTCCAGAGAGAGATAAGTACTATGAAAACAAACTAGAGTGATTGGCTAGAGAGTAACTATGGAAACCACTCTGAGTTTCTAAAGGAAATGGCTCTGAGATGATATTTGAGCTGAAGTCACCAGTGCAAAAATCTTAGGCCAGAGCATCATAGGAAGAATGAACAACAACAGAACCCCAAGATGGGCACGGACACTGAGTAGATATGACAAGTTCTTATTGACATGTACAAAACAAGAAAACAGAAAGAAGACAAGAACATTTGATCTTGCTGGGAAGGGAAAGGATGGCTGAGTCACAAGCTGAGTGAACCAAGCCTGGAAGAACAATGAGCCTTGTACCCTTATGGTCTGGCCCTGGTTCCACATTTCCTCCATGGGCCTCCTAAGTAGGAAACTGTTGGAGGTGGTGGGAAAAAGTAGGAGAAGTGTCTATTGCCTGCATTCTTCACCCTTATATTCCAACTTTAGGAGCCGATAAACAAATCAGCCAAGCTTGGGCTTAAAACAAGCTGAGATGGCTTCTGGAATGGACCCCATTGGAGCCTGAAGAGAGATGGATCTGCTCCAACCCCTCTCCTTTCATCCCCCAACTCCAAGCCGAGTCGGGAAAGTGGCTCAAGAGGGGGTCCTATAAGGCCACTGCTGGGCATACCATGGAACCCTAAGCCAAAAGCAGGCCCAGGAAGGGAGAGTAATAAAGTGCAATCTTCTCTTGTGATCAACTTCAGTGGTCAAGGTCCTCAGGGGGAATGAAACCTACATAGAATTGGAGGGGCTCTGGGAGAAAAAATGAGAGCCCAAAGATACTCTCCCAAAGCCAAGTAAGTGTGTAAACACACACACACACACACACACACACACACACGCGCCGATGAGCTGTGGGCAAACTATCTGCAGCTTGTGTAAGTGTGTAAGGGGTGTGGTGGAACCAGGGTGGAGTGAGGAATTAGTCCCTGTGGCCCTGACTAAGAGCCTATACTCAAGATCAAAGTCTTTCCCAAGAGCCTGGGGCTACAGACAGTGGGAGTAAAACACAGAGGAGAGATGAGAAGTCAACCCCCAACCCTGCTCCAGGTTCAGACCCTGAAATACCTTTGAATAGCCTCCTGCACAGGGAGGGAAATCTTGGACTGCTTAATCTCCCCTAACTCTCCCTTCTCCCCACTTAATTCTCCTCTCCCCAAGGCCAAGCTCCTGTTCTATTTTTCCTGATCCCACTACCGTATCAGACAGAAATAGCAAGACCAGGATTCAGCCCTCCCCAGGAATTTGGGTACTGTGGCCTGGAAACAGAAACTCTCTGAGCATCCCTTCTGGTTTTATGAAAGTGCCCTGGGGCCATCTGCCCCTGTAGGGAAGTGGAGAGGTGGGAGGGCAGTATCACCTGTCTGATGGAGGGCCCATCCCCAGGAGAGACATGGGAGTAGGGCATCATGAGTGAGGCCAATTACCTGCCCAAAGCTACATAATTTACAAAGCAATGAATTCTGGAGTGAAGACCATCTAGATGGGTTGGACAAGCTCAAAAGCTGTGCCTTAGACTGTTTGCTCTCACCCAGGCTGGGACCAGGAGGCCACATTCACGAATCCCTGTGTGAGGTTGGAAATAGGCCCTGGGGAGTGAGTGGGAGGGAGCTGCTTCCTCAGGCCTTTTCTCTCAGCTTCTGACAGGGCGCATTGTCTGCATCTCAGCTGTGGAGTTAGACAATTCAGGCCCTCCCTGAGGATTTCTTTGCATCTCTGGATTATACGCTAGACAAATATCTTACTCAAAAAAGAATTTGGATCTTCCCTAGAACCAGCTGTGCCTCTGACTGTGGGCTAGCACAAGAACTGATTTGGGAGGCCAGACAGAAACCAAATGGCACAGAGGGAAAATGGATCCCAGATAGAGGACTCATGACAAAGAAGAAGGTCAAGGATCTAAACAGAATCAAGGATTGACAACAGGATGCCAAGGGCCAGGAAAGAATAGAGGTTGGAGGACAGCACATGGGCTGGCACTTGAGCCATTTCGATCCCAAGACCCTGGTGGTCTGTGCACATCCTGGGGCAGGGGGCAAGAACTGCAGGTGAGACCGAAAGAGCCAGGCACTGAGTTTTGGCACCCAAGGAGCGCTGCTGGGACCCCCTGCCTGGAGCATAACACAGAGGTGCCCCTCTCACCTCCAGGCAGGCTGCCCGGCTTGAGCATGGGCAGTTGCCGTATCAGCAGGCGCCATTTTCGAAGCCGGATAACTTGCCCAAGGGCACGTGGGTCAGGAAGTCTTGAGTCCAGGAGCTGAGGCCATCCATTCACTTGAAAATCCTCTTTGGTCACTTCTTCTTTGGGGTCGTCTTGGTCTTCCTTTTCAATCTGATTTACAAAGAGAAACAAAAAAAGCATAACACTGGTAAGTGATATACTCTCGCTCCATGATCGATTAATATAATTGTAAATTTGTAGACTAGTTTTGAGGTTATTATTCTTCTGAGAAATCCATCCTTAAAATTCCTCTTTTTAATTTCTCAATGCTGGTAAACTCTGGCCAAAATAATATAATATTTTTTTCTGGCCTCAGCTTAGGAAAGATATCCTTTTAAAGTCCTTCTATTTTTATGTACAATAATTATTGATTTTCTACTTAATTGCAATAGTTTCGGAACACAGAAAAACACAAAGGAAATCAATGTACCACCTCGCTCCTAGAAAAAAATAATTTTATTGCCTGTAAATGTAAAGACATGAATGTACACACATATACATAGAGGGTATATGCACTCGCATTATGAAATTATGACCATATTGACATGTTTCTATTTCAATGGAGAACAGACTGTGTTCAGGAAGGAAATAACACCCAGGAAAGAGATTATGAATATGTGGCCCCAGACAAGCATTGCTTACAAGCTTATTCTCCAACTGAGAGATTATATTACATTAACTGTGATTTATTTTATACAACAGAACTTTATGTGACCACCTTCAAAATGAGGCTATGTCAGGTAGTTTCAGAACATCATCGAAGTTCTTAATTTAAAAACACACAAGAAAAAAGAAGAACACAAAGATTCATGCATTAAGAATGTGTCATAATTTTACGTTAAACACTTAACTTTTCCTATAATTGGGAGACTTTAAAAATTAGAAATAAAATTCAGGTATTAACAATAGCATTTTCCAAAACCCAAAATTATATATCAAGCTAACAGTGCTGGTGTCCTCCAGGCAGGATTGAAGATACTAGGAAAAATGAATGAAATAATTTATTGAAATTTGCAAAGTAAATTGTAGCTTGGAAGTTTAGAACACATCCCTTAAAAATTGGGAGGAAATATTTACATTTTTTGAATTGTCTCTATGACTTGCTGACATGGGACAGTCTTTCATATTAGAACTCCACGTAGATCTTGCTGAATATATAACTCTGGAAGCTGATGGTAGCATAGAAGCCCACAGATCCTGGGCATCACCCTGTTCAGGTACCACTGCAATCAGCTATTGTAGCACCTTAGATAATATGAGCATCTAATTATCTAATTGGCACTTCACTGGCAATGGCAGCCCCGTTGATGGCAGTGGGGATGGGTAAATTGTACAGCAACAGCCCTGGATTTGCATTTTAGCAAGTGGAAGCAACTGAGTTGGGGAGGATCTGCTAGTAGTTAGGACTGAATGACACAATGTATCCATGAAGTAACAGTTCTAATAACATCCACTTACCTAGTACTATAAGATAATAAACTAAGCACCTTATAACGATCAATAATGATGTAGATAATATCCTTACTTTATAGATGGAAAAAAAATGTGGTTTTGAGAGAGAATAAGTAACTTGGACCCGCTGCTCACTCAAGCCTGATACAGACTCCTTGCCCTTCCCACTGTGCCAGACTAGGAGTATTTATAGGTCTCACTCAATCAATAACATCAGCCGAGCCCTGAGTCAGGCCCTGGGGATATGAGTGTAAGATGGAGTCCTTGCTTCTGACTCGAGCACATTTCAGCAAGGGAGATGGACCCCATGGTGTCTAAAATGTAGCAGTGGAGGCACCAGTCGAGCCCAGGGAGGTGGTGGCCATCTGCTCAGCAAGAAATATGAAGGCCCTAAGTCAAAGAGCTATGCCAAAGCTCCTAACCACTGACAATAATGATGATTCTGCAGACACAGGAGACAGCTTCTCTGCCTACAACATACTCACTGACCAGCTCAAAATAGGAATATAACAAGTTACTGTGATGCAAAAATTAGGCCCTGTATAAAAAGTCCTGATCATCTTGTAGCACAGCTTTGAAGGGTGAAAATGATAAAGACTGCCCACAGAGCAGAGCAGAAGAATCAAACTGCTCAAGCCCACGTAAGGCTGGGAAAGGAACTGCCGCATGCACACATACGGGCAAACATCAAATGACTGCTCCTCCAGGTGCTAGTTCCTGCCAAGAAGGGCTTGGACCTAAATGTAGATTGGAAATGAATCCAACAGGTAAATCTAATCCATAGATTTAATCATAGATGTACCTATCTCTCTTAAGCATCAAAGTGACATCAGTACCAGGTGATCCTGGGCACTCCCCATTATAATAATTCTAGTAGTGATTAGAACCTCTTTGATTCTTTAAATCCAAATCACATTCATACCCATTCACTAGTTTAATGATAGAGCATGTCAATCAAAGAACTATGAGGAAAGAGGAACCATATCTTGAAATGAGAATTTGAAGAAAGAACAGATATAAACCTACAACCCAACCCAAGTACCTTGTCTAGTTGGGCTCAAGCCTTTGGACTTTAACCCTTTCGAGTGATCCAGAAAGCCAATTTGTCAAGGACTTAATCTTGTTAAAATATTTCTCTGAGAAGCAAATGTTCTAAGTGCAATAGCAATTTAAATCATATGCAAAAACTAAGCATACAGATTGAAAAGTAAAAATAAAATCATCTCTATTCACAGACAATATGATTGTTAATGTAGAAAATCCCATAGTCTACCAATGATAAAATGTAGAATACGTATGTTTAACAAGATCACGTCATACATGATTAATATACAAAAATCAATTGTTGTTATATACTAGCAACATGTAAACTGAAAACTGTACTATTTTTAGTAACACCCAAAAGTCTAGAATACTTAGTTATAATGCAAACAAATTATGTGCAAGATCTATATACTGAAAACCACAGAAAAGACCTAAATGAATGGAGAGATATACCATGTCAAAGGATTCAGTAGTGTTACAGTTCTCCCCAAATTGATCTATAAACTCAACAAAATCCCATTCAAAATCCTTCCAGGATGTAGTGTAAAAGTTGGCACACTAACACTAAAATTTATATGGAAAAATAGAGGAACTAGAACAGCCAAAAATAATTTCAAAAATAAAGAACAATATTGGAGCATTCACACCAATTGATTTTAATACTCACTATAAAGCTGCAGTAATTAAGCATTGTATTGGCAAAAGTAAAAATATATAAGTTAAAGATGGGCAAAGATATATAAATTTAAAATGGGCAAATGAATAAAAAGTCCAGAAATAAACTCACATGTTATGGTCAACAGATTTTTAACAAAATTGCAAAAGTAATTCAATGGAGAATCTTTTCAACAAATGGTGCTAGAACAATTGAAAATGCATGTGCAAAAGATACTGAACCTCGATTCATACCTCACGCCACTTAGAAAAAAATAACTCAAAATGTGTAATAATGTATATTTAAAACCTAAAATTTTTTAAATTTCTAGATGAAAACATAAGGAGAAAATCTTTATAACCTTAGGTTTAGCAAAGAATTCTTGTATACAGTACAAAAAGCATAACCTATAAAAAAAAACTGGTAAATTGGACTTTGTCAAAATTTGAAACTTTGGTTCAACACAAGACACTATTAAGAAAATAAGAAAGCAAGCCACAATATTTGCAAAACATATATTTGATAAAAGACTTTACCCAGATATAGTTTTAAAACTCTCAAAACACAATAATCAGGAAATAACTCACTTTTTAAAATGGGCAAAAGATTGAGCACACATTTCACCAATAAATGTCTTTGATGGGTGACATACAAGTTCATTATAAGATTCTCAACATCATTAATCATTAGGAAAATGCAAAATTAAAACTACATAGGTGTGATATATTATTACACACCTATTAGGATGAATAAAATTGTAAAAGCTACCAATGCCAAGTGCTGACAAGAATACAGAGCATCCCACGTTGCTAGTCTGAGTACAAAATGATTCAACCACTTTGGAAAACCATGTAGCATTTTCTTACACGTTTAAACATAAACCTGTCGTAAGTCTCAGCAATACCACTCCTAGTTATTTACTCAAGAGAAAAGAAAACTTATGCTCACATGAATGTCTATAGCAGCTTTATGCATAATCACCCCAAACTGGAAACAACCTAAATATCCTTCAACTGGCGACTGGAAAACTGTGATAGGTACATCCATACTACTCAGCAATAAAAATGAAAGAACTACTGATTCATGCAACAACATGGTTCAATCTCAAATACATTATGCTACACATCAATGGTTTTCAAGGGTTTGGGGGTTGACTGAAACAGAGAAGTATGAGAGGAATTATGGGAGAGTGATGAAAATATTGCATATCTTGATTAAGGTGGTGGTTGTGGGTACGGAACTATTTGCTGAAAATGTTGAATTTTACTGCATGCAAATTATATCTTAATAAACGTGGGGGGGGCGGGGCTCAGAAAAAAGACTGAAAGCACTACTTTACCCAATCAGCACAAAGAAAGAATGTCCATGGTTTTCTGGAAGGAGAAAATGCAGAGTGGACCTCTTGGCATCAGGAAGGACAAAAGGGAGATAAGTCATGTCAAGGAAAATGTCCCGGGCAAGTCTGAGTCCACGTGCCTGAAAAGCAGGCAGGCTACCTCCACCTAACATCCTGAACCTTCGCATCCCGCCCCGATACCTAGATCTGTCAGTGCACATTCTCCAACTTCTTATAGTAATTGCTTATGGTCAGCACACTTCTGAAGTAAACTCTAGCTTGTCGACTATGTAAGTGTTAATATTGCATTATTGTTTGGCAGTCCTGATCATTCCAATCAAACCCAAAACAGTATACAAATATGAATTTTCTTCTACAGTTACAAGAGAAAGTAGAGTGTCATTCAGTTGGTGTATTTATCCTAAACCCTAGAAGCAATGTAGTCATTCCTAGCCCAGGACAGTGGATGGTCAATAAAACACCAAAACTGGCTTGCTTTGGTTTGAGACTGAGTATTCTCTGCCTCCTAAAGACTATATACTGTGAAGAACCTGAAGCCACTTAGAACCTCTAACAATCAATTATCTTTCCCCAGCTTTGATTTTATCATCTGCTGAAGTGAGACAAGGGAATGGAGAAGAGGGACCGGGCAGGTGAGACCACAGGATGTGGGCTGAGGGTGGAAGCAGCCGAGCTCAGGGGTTGTTCCTGGAGGGAATAGCAGCATCATGGAGGGATGGGATGGGCCACTCGTAAATTCCATCTGAGCTGCTGGACTGGGGCATGCATCATTTCCCTGGACTGCCCAGAGCCTCGTACAGTGCCGTGCACATGGACTTGATAAACTGCCTTGCAAATAGATGCGGAAATAAATTGGTCCTCCAGGCCTCTGGTGTGCAGGCCGCGATTCGGTACAAGACATGCTGTGAACGAATGAGTCAAATATGTGTGACTGGCCCCAAATCAGCTGCTCACAGTCACAGTGGTCTTCAGAAAACTGCAGATCCCCAGCTCTCAAAAGTGGAGCACTGAGGAGCCAAAAGCAGCACAGCCCAGGAAACTCGCGTTAACCCTAAAGGCAAGGATGACCTGCGAAATCCTAAAATCGTGGAGAAGTAAGAGCAGAATAAATGAAGAAGGATGCCGGGGTTTCCCCACATTAAATATGAGGATGCCACCGTGTCCCCTCAGGAAGCAGGGGCTCATAAATTGGATCCTAAGATTTAAGTATTCTCTGGATTTTGAGAAGATCCATTCAAGGGGATTACTAAGGACTCAAAAGGTCTTTGTCAAAATCGTTTGACCTCTACAGGTCAGACCTCGGGAAGGCACCATTTCAGAAAAGAAGGCTGCTTCAAAAACCTTTTTTGACCCTTTCTTCAAGTGCAATTTAATAGCTCTGCTTAAGAGTGATTTTTCCCCCCATTAACCTTCCCCTCACCCCTCTGATTTAGGAGATTCAACCAGTATCAATAGAGGAAAGAGAAAACATGGTAGAGAGATGGCTCCAATGCATTTACCTTGGGACTTCTGGGAATCTGAAAAGGAAAAAGGAGTGTCTTAGGAAGGGCTCAGATGGTGCATCGTGACATCGTGAGACATGAAGAACGGAGCCCATCAGGTCCCTGGGTTCCAGGGAAGGGACAATGATCGAGGAGGCAATGACAGCCTGTAGAGGTACCTCCTCTGAGAGCCACTGAGAACACTTAACTGAGGGAGTCAAAATATGCCAAGACTAGGATATCTTTTAAATTTAGGTGAAAAAAAAACAGCAAGGCTGGGTCCAGACAAATCTGTGGCTCAGATGAAGTTTGCTATCATTGTCTTCCATCTCTTTTCCATGTTCTGCTTGAACTCCATCCATCAAATAGCCATCACACAACTCACTGTAGATGATGGCTTGAAGCCACCAACATAGATGGCATGTCTCTTATATAATTAATTTCCTCTGCACATTTCCTAACCACTTCCATATAGGAGGCCTTAAATCAATGACTAGGTACCTGGCATACAATGTCCTACTACAGTTTTAGTAACTGATAGCCTGTTACTTCCTTCACGAATTAACTTCACCTGACTTGCACTCTTTAATGCTTTCACCTTTAGAAACATAAATATATTACCTTCCACATTTCTTTAGTACACGTCACAGATAATGTGGGTCACTGATTTATGGATGATGTGTAGGTCAGTGTTTCTCAAAGTGTGGTCTGTGTACCACCTGTGTCACTATGCTGGTGGAGGGAGGATTGCTTGTTGAAAATGCAGATCCCCAGACCTCACTGGTCTGCCAAGGAATTAGAGTCTCTGGGGGCATCTTTAATGTGCTCCCCAGTTGATTCTTCTGCATCCTATATCTGTAAACATCATGTGAGGTGCACACACAGAACCGTGCTGTGCAGGTGTTGGTTATCAGAGCAGATACGAGACTCTCAAATACAACTGACATCATCCACTATTAACTTATAAAACAGTTTCATTTCCAAATATTAAAAGTACTAAAAAGTTGCCCTGCCATGCATGTGGGCGTGTGGGCAGGGAGTACATGGGAAATCTCTGTACCTTCTGCTCAATTTTGCTGTGAGCCTAGAACTGCTCTAAAAAAAAAAAAGCTAATCTGCCTCACATGGAGCAGATGAATATGTGTCTCTCTGACTCACCTTCTCTTCCTGCATGGATCCCTCTCCTTTAGGCTCTACTCATCCCAGCCTAACCTCCTCTGAGAAGCAGAGCCCTGCTCCAGGCTCTCGTATCCCAGTGTACACACCGATTGTGACACTGTTAGGGCATTTATACCCTACACTGCTGCAAGTTATTCTCTTGTTTGGTCCTGGTGAATCTTAAAACAACCCGATTTGTTCACTGCTATATTCCTTCCCCGGGCATGGTGTATGGAACTCTATCGTTATGCAATCAGGTTTGTTGGATGACTGAATGAGTGAATGAATGAATGAGATTAAGGGCAGATAAAGTGTGTTGGGAGGATAGACAGACAAAATAGCTAAACCACTCCTTTTACACATACACAGATATTCCTTCAAGTGACCGTTTCTCCTTTCTCTGAGACACAGGAATTAAGGGCCTCATCTATTCAATCTGTTACTATGGTTGATACTCAGAATTGATAAATTAATCGCTTCCAGTCCTAGTAGACAAAGGAAACAATGGATAATGCCATCTGAAGTATTGGACCAATGGCATCTATGAGGAAAACAGAAGCCACACTAAGTATTTCAGAGGGAATTTAATGCGGGGAATTGACACAGATTTGGTAAGGCGGGGAGAAGCCCACTGAGATAACCCAGATGTTAGTAAACACAGGAAGCAGCTACTAACCTTAGGGCCTGGGAAACAAAAGGGAAGAGATGGTGTTACCAGAACCTAGAAGCTTTGGTGGGGGACCCCCCACGGCTGGTGCCTGGCCCTCTTTGGGGGCTGCTGCGCGGCTGCTGCTTGGGCTTCTGAGGGGGGCGCTGCTTGGCTGGTGGTCGGACCTCTGGGCGGGGGCGTGGCTGACGTTCAGACCTCGGAGGGGACCGTGGCTCAGACCTCGGAGGGGACCGTGGCTCAGACCTCGGAGGGGACCGTGGCTTGGCTGGTGCTCTGACCACCGCGGGGGGTGCAGCTGGCTGGCGCTTGGGTCTCTGAGGGGACGTTGCACGGCGGCTGGTGCGGAGAGGGCCAAAAGAAGCTGGAGGCTGGAGCCATGGCTCTCCTCTGCTGCTTAAGGGATGCTGACAGGAGCTGGAAACAGGAAGGCAGGCCCTGCTCCCCCACCCCCACCTTCTAATCTCTCCCTGGTACCTTCCGATGGCAGAACCTAACAGGGAGCCGACTGTCAGGGGCTTGGGGAAGAGCAGCTTGCAGAGGCCAGGCCCCAGCATCACAGAGTAGAGTAGGAGGGGGCGGGGCTTGGAGCGGAAAGACGACGGGCCCACACCTGGCCCGGGTGCTCAGTGGGCGGTGCCGACCACTTACCTGGTCTTCTGGCAGGCACAGCAGATCCAGTCCTCCTCTTTTTTCTGGTAGAAGCAGCCACTCTTACAGATGCTGTATTTCCGGTCCACAATCTCACGCTTGGAGTTGAGGAAGGTGAATGGCGGGCAGCAATGTATGCTGAAGTGCTCGGAAAACTTCTGGTTCTTGGAGAGTCTGGGGCCCTCCTTACTCGTTTTCTGACTCATCTCGCTGGAAAGCATCCATGCAGGGAGAGGTGGGGAGACATAAAATGGCATTTCAGGCGAGGGAGCTTTCTCCTAAAGGAACCCACTCCCCGCACTCGGATTGTCCACATCAGTATTCAGGGTTGTCCTAAATAACAGACGCCTGGAATATCAATTTCTTGCTCAACTATATGGAAAAGAATTAAGGGTTTATCAATTTTCCTGTGCTTTTTAATGTTTTCTGGAAATGGACTCTTTTCCCCCTTATGTTTAATGATCCATTTGGGATAGAAAAAATATTACAAAAGCAAACATTATTAAAGCGCCTAGTATGTGATGGTTGCTTTATACACTTTACCTCATTTTTATGACATGGCATTATTACCAACAAACTAAAGGTGAGAGAAGCTGGGGAACATGACCAAGTCCATAAAGGCAGTTCGAAGCAGACAGGGGAACCGAATCCATGTCTGTGTGACTCCAATATCCTATGCCCTTCCACGAGATTCAGCTCTACCTGTGCCCCTGCATTCAGGCCTCCTCTCCCAGAAGCAGGAGGCCAGGCGCTGGGCCCAGACTGGACTTTGGGGATCTGGAGATGGGCCCAGGGATGGGATAAGGCTTCACAGCTGCATAGGTCTATGTCCTAGGGTGAAAAAGACTGAAAGTCGGGGAAACAGCTCCCGGAAGGAGGAAAGGGAGAGAATGGAGTTTAGAGACGTCATGCAGGATGGCAACCAGGACCTCCCTGTCAGAGCAAGAAGGTTCACAGTGGGGAAACTAGGATGTTCACTTGGAGAGGGCCCTGAAGCGTGCGTGACCCACAGGTGCTTCATCCGTCCCTCCTACACCAGTCCTTTGTAGTTTTAAAATCTACATTCACTATTGAATACTAGAAAACTTGATGATGAAAATAATAAAAATTCCTAAATTCTTATCCCATAGTTAATATTTCATTTGTGAAATACTTGAACATTTCTTGAGAATATTTACATGTAAATATATACTTAATAAAAAGAGGACCGTACCACATATACTGTTCAAATTTTTATATTTAGAAAATCATTCATTTTTTAAAGTTTTATAAATATATACAAAATGTTATTTATAGTATTCTCTTACAGTTTTTAAAATCTGTATAAAAGTATAGTTACGGCCCTCTTTATAATTTATATATTTATATCTTCTCTCATATTTCTTGATTAATCTTGCCAGAAGTTAACTACTTTATTGTTCTTCTCAAAAAAAAAGCTCTTGTTTTTTTTTGCTTGTCTTTGTTCTTTTTTCTAACTCGTTAATTTCTATATGCATTCATTATTATTTATTTTCTTCGATTTTCTTTAAGTTTATGTTCTTGTTCTTTTTCTCTATTCTTGAGTCCAACACTTCTCACATATGCATGGGATTGTGACTTTTCCATTAAGGACAAATTTAGCTGCATATCACAAATATTAACATAATTCATTTTCACTTCATTTTAAATGTGGATGAGTTCCTCTCTGAGTCATCAATTATTTTTTTCAAATCTGTTGTAAAATTTCAAGGTGTATGGAGTTATTGTTTTACATGGACTTGTAATTCTACTTAGAAAGTGGCCTGTATGATCATGACTCTGATATTTGTTGAGATTTGCTTTGTGGACTGCTACATAGTCAATATTTTTGCATGTTCCACATGTGCTTGAAAATGTGCATTTTTAGAAACAATTTGGAGTTACTTAGTGAAGATAAAAAAGTGCACAGACTGCTGTCTAGCAATTTCTTCTCGGGCACAGCAGCCACCTCGGATCATGGCTCAACCTTGCAGGTGAAGTCTCGTAGTTGAGTGCAAAGCCTGGAGGAGCCTGAATCCTTGATGGCTGCAGAGCCGCTGCTCTAAGCCCTGACTCTTGAACACTGAACACCTTTTACCTGAGACTCAGTCCAACTTCCGCCTTGTTTAAACCACTATTATTTTCAGTTGCAAGTGCTCAAATACAATTGCAAATTAATAGACTCAGTTTCCTCATCTAAAACGGGGTTTCTTAATCATTTGGGGATAACGAATGATTAAGAAACAAAATGCCACAAATTAAGCAGTTTATAAACAACAGAAATTTGTCTTTCACAATCCTGGAGGCTGGAAAGTCCAAGATCGAGGCACAAGCAGATTCAGTTCCTGGTTCATAGGCCGGTAGAATGAGCGAGGGAGCTCTCTGGGATCTCTTTTTATGGGGGTACTAATTACATCCATAAGATCTCTGTCTTCATGACCCAATCACCTCCCAAAGGTCTTACCTCCTAATACCTTCATCGTATTGGATTAGATTTCGACAGATGAATTTTGGAAGGAAACAAACATCCAGTTCGTAACAGAGGGTAATTACAAATAATAATAACAATACTTAACACAGAGGGCCTTTGATAGTATTAAATAAAATGAAATAAGCATAGAGTCTAGCACTGTACCTAAAATAACTTGCTTAATACGTTCCATTTCTCTTTCACTAAGAATTCATTCAAATGACCTAATTCCACTGAATTCTTCAGACATACTCTTTATGTATCACATCTATCTCTGATGACATTTAATTCAAGGATTGGTTACATCTTTAGTGGCTCAAAACAAATCATTATAAACACTACATGGTGTTTTCACAAAAGATACTACCTAATTACAGAGCAAAGATGCTTATGAACTGTCTGGCAGGATGAAGAAAAAAAATAACTGAATTTGAAACTATATCATATAATCTTAAACCTTGTCCAATAGGGCTCCTTCCCCCTGCTAACTTCTCCTCCAACAATTACACAGCAAATGCCTCCACTGCCTTGGGGCTCAGCCCAAAGCCAAGTCACTTCTTTGGGAGACTTTCCAGAGCCTTCCCTTCCCCTGGGGAGAAATGGTTACTCCTCCTTCTTTCTCGTCCTGACTTTGTTCGCTGTACCTAATTTTACGAGAGCATCTGGAATCTTAGGTGTTATCCTTACTGTTTCATTGTTTCCTTAAATTTTTTGTCCCAGGAGCCTTGTACAATGCCTGATTCAGAACAGGTAGGTGTTCAATAGATGCTTGATTAAAATGAAAGAATGAACAAAGGGTGTCTCTTACAACAGCTGCAGAGGCCCTCAGCCTATCCCTGCCTGTCCTCAGATGCTCTCTAGCAGTCCCATGTCACTTGAGGGACCTCTGCTTTGGCTCAGACCATAGTGTCTGTTCAAATGACAAAGGCAACACAGGAAAGGACCTTTCTAACTGACCTCGAAAGTTAAAAATTTTCTGAAAGATTTTGTGAACCCACTACATCTTTTCCCAATTCATACAAACTAGCAAGTTTCAATCAACACACGCACATTTAATTATGCATTCTAGAGATGGTGCTAGCATCTCTACACAACCACCTGTGTCATGGGTATCTTTAAACAGAGCTTCACTCATCCCTAAGGAGACTGCAGAATCCTGAACACAAAATAGGTTTTCTTCCTTCCACCTGTCCTTCTTTCTTTTCTACCACTTTTTCTTAAAATAAAGTTGGGATGTGGGCTAATTATTTAATAGAAGTGGCATGTGGTCCTTAGTCTTGGGCACTCCTCTGAAAAGGAAATACAGTGCAAATAGTAAGATGATATATTGCAGCCCATGTCCTCCTTCACATCTACACAGGACCACAGGCGGTCACACATGGAAATGGGTACAGGCTCTGCAAAGCGAAGGGTGGATGCAGGTCAGTGTTTGGGAAAAAGAACTGTTCTTCGGTTCTTGTAAATCAGGTCTTTCAGAACCGTGAACAAGAGCCTATCCTTGTCATATATAAGGAACTCAACATGGGAGAGATAGGAGGGAAAACTTGACCCTGAGTATACAGGACCCGAACCATATGTGAGAATAATATTCTGGCTTCAGCTATCAAAACTCCAAAGAAAGGCCCCAGGATCAGTCCCAAGACCTCTTAATACATTGTATGGTTTAAGAAATAGGATGTCTGATATATACTTGGGGGAAAAAATCAAGTTAACAAACAAAACAAGAAATTTCAGACTTATTCAAACTCATTTCAGTTGTACCAAAAAACAAAACAAAACAAAAAAACCCAACTTTTATATTTTTTCGTAATTGTGTAATTGGTGCAATATTACAGGCCGATCCCATGCTGAATATTGGCTGGGGAAAACAGGGAAAAGGAGAGAGAAATCGAACCTCTAAGTTTATATTGCCTTGATCACTTCCGGCATAAACTCTCTTTCTAATTAGGAGTCAGTTAAAGTTCCATTCCCTAACGGGACTATTCTTTCTCTCCTTCAATTGCTTCTCAAGGCAGACAGGAGTGTGGGGAAGCTGAGAGTCCTCGTGGCAGTGAGGGAAGGGGTGGCCGGTCCAGGTGATGACCTCCCTCCCACACATGCCGTGCACTAAGTAGGGGGAATCAAGAACCCTACCTTGGGACCACTGGCCCAGGCAGCTCCTCATCCAAAATTGTGTACTCACTCATGGGCCACATTAGATGTGGCTGAGGGCGGGCCTCCACCAGGCGCTTGCAGCCTGTCTCCACTACTGCTGTGGAAGTGTGTCAGTGGGACCCACCACTCCTCTCACGCACACACACAATTTCAAACCTATCTGGATGTTTCTACCACACCTAGCACATCTCCGCCATGGTTTTGAGTTTTCATCTGGAGAACTTGGGTGTCTCTCCCTTTCCAGCTTGAATGTGCCCTGTAGGGTGGAGAATCCCCCCATAAATTCACCACGTGGAGAAGGCTTGAGCGAAGGAGGACATGTTCTTCCTAGGCCTTTTCTTTCCTTTTCCCAATTCCTTCTTATCCGTGGCGATAATTTCTCATTAAAACCTGCACTGCCACCCTCCCTGCCTTCAAATGATTAGGAATAATTATAAAGAGGTGGAAGTAACTGGAAATTGCAATTTTCATACATTGGTTTCGAGAACAAGATGAACTGTCTAGCCTTGAAAACAGTGTATTATTTCAAAGCATGAAGAATTAACTTCAAGTGCTTAAATTATTTATAAATTTTGAATGAATTTCTGCC